CCGGAGGGGTGAGGGGGATTCTGGGAGGTCACATGACATCAGTCCTCTCTACCTGAGCGGATAGTTTAGACGGGTTCTATTAGAATGTATTTGGGTCTCTCGCAGGATTACATCATCGTGAGGAAGCCGGGCGGCCGGACAACCAATAGGAACCGACTTCAAGTGGTGGAAGGATTCTCGCGGAAGCAGAGCCGCATGCCGGGGGGGCCGCCGCGTTCCATGCCGTGTGAGAGGATCAGCGACCAGAAGATCCTGGAGCTGACCCAGAAGATGATGGAGCTGGTGACGGGAGAGGTGAGCGGTGCCGGGGATTCTGGGACATGATCCAGGAACAGACAGGGGCGTGTCTGGGTGGTGACGGGAGAGGTGGTCGGTGCCGGGGATTCTGGGACATGATCCAGGAACAGACAAGGGGCGTGTCTGGGTGGTGACGGGAGAGGTGGGCGGTGCCGGGGATTCTGGGACATGATCCAGGAACAGACAAGGGGCGTGTCTGGGTGGTGACGGTATCATTGTGTGTGTCAGGTTCCTATAAGGTGTCAGGATGTCTCTGTCTATCTCTCCATGGAGGAGTGGGAGTATCTAGAAGGACACCGGGATCTCTACAAGGACGTGGTGATGGAGAATGCCCCGCCCCTCACATCACCGGGTAAGAGGAGAGAGCAGTACGGAGGCTCCGCCTACATCCCCCATCATCTGATACACACATAGAAACAATGTATTCAGTCAGTGTGTGTGTTTCCTACAGATGGATCCAGTAAGAGGAACCCACCAGAGAGATGTCCCCGCCCCCTGTATTCCCGGGACTCCACCCAGGAAGATCTCACCGTCCCCCACCATGAGAGATGTCCCCGCCCCCTGTATTCCCGGGACTCCACCCAGGAAGATCTCACCGTCCCCCACCATGAGAGATGTCCCCGCCCCCTGTATTCCCGGGACTCCACCCAGGAAGATCTCACCGTCCCCCACCATGAGAGATGTCCCCGCCCCCTGTATTCCCGGGACTCCACCCAGGAAGATCTCACCGTCCCCCACCATGAGAGATGTCCCCGCCCCCTGTATTCCCGGGACTCCACCCAGGAAGATCTCACCGTCCCCCACCATGAGAGATGTCCCCGCCCCCTGTATTCCCGGGACTCCACCCAGGAAGATCTCACCGTCCCCCACCATGAGAGATGTCCCCGCCCCCTGTATTCCCGGGACTCCACCCAGGAAGATCTCACCGTCCCCCACCATGAGAGATGTCCCCGCCCCCTGTATTCCCGGGACTCCACCCAGGAAGATCTCACCGTCCCCCACCATGAGAGATGTCCCCGCCCCCTGTATTCCCGGGACTCCACCCAGGAAGATCTCACCATCCCCCACCATGAGAGATGTCCCCGCCCCCTGTATTCCCGGGACTCCACCCAGGAAGATCTCACCATCCCCCACCATGAGAGATGTCCCCGCCCCCTGTATTCCCGGGACTCCACCCAGGAAGATCTCACCATCCCCCACCATGAGAGATGTCCCCGCCCCCTGTATTCCCGGGACTCCACCCAGGAAGATCTCACCATCCCCCACCATGAGAGATGTCCCCGCCCCCTGTATTCCCGGGACTCCACCCAGGAGGATCTCACCATCCCCCACCATGAGAGATGTCCCCGCCCCCTGTATTCCCGGGACCCCACCCAGGAGGATCTCACCCTCCCCCGCCATGATCAGGTAGATGGGACTAGAGGACACCGGGATTTGTACAAGGACGTGGTGATGGAGGACCGCCAGAGCCGCCTGTCTCCAGGTACCAGTGATCGGCCGCCATGTTCTCTGTATTGTGTTATTACCCCGAAAATAACCCTCCATGTGTCTCCCTCAGACCGCTCGCCGAGCAGCCAGACGGACGGAGAGATCGGCTTCCCCGTGGTGGCATTGGATGGTGAACCCGAAGATAGTATGATCATCGATACCGGGCCGGAGGACGTAGACGCATGTGAAGGAGACTTGGGGCCAGGGGGCGTAGACGCATGTGACACAACTGCAAGCTCTGTGGAAGGTTATGGAATCCGAATTAAGGAGGAGCCTGTGTCTGATGAAGAAGGCGGCGTTGCCGACGGCAACCTTTCCACCCCAATTCCCTATACTTGTGTCCGAATTAAGGAGGAACCCCCCATGTTTGAGGAAGTCCCCGGTGATGACGCAGGCCACATTAAGGAAGAGACCGTACCAGCTGAAGAAGACAATTGCTCCACTCCGAACATTTACACCCCCAGAGATCAGGGAGAGTTCAGCCCCACCCACATCAAGGAAGAGCCAGTAACGTTCCTCAATGTATTGGACATTTCCAGGCAAGCCGATGGGACGCATGTCCCCCCCACACGCACCGCTCCAGAGACACTAGCATATGAAGTGGAGATTCCGGTGGACAAGGCGCCTGTGAAGGGTCCGGACAATGCGTCCTTGTACAGCGTGCGTCAGAAGGAGGACTCCATGGAGATCTTGTATCACTGTCCCAGCTGCTACAAAGGGTTCTCCAGTAACCTGGACCTCGCCCGTCACCAAGTCATCCACACTGTAGACAAGCTCTTCATCTGTTCCCTGTGTGGGAAGAGTTTCACCGAGATGTCCTTTCTGGTCAAACACCAAGTCATCCACACGGACCTCAAGCTGTGCGTCTGCCCCGTGTGCGGGGGATGTTTCTACAGCGAGACGTCCCTGGCCAAGCACCAGAAAACGCATTCTTTGCCGCTCTTCTGTTCTACGTGTGGGAAATGTTTCTTTAACAAGACCGAGCTGGCCATCCATGAAAGGAAGCACTCGGGGGAAAGGCCTTTCGGGTGCCATATTTGTGGCAAGCATTTCATAGCCAAGTCGGTTCTGAACAAGCACGTGCTGATCCATACGTCCATGGAACGAAGGAAATGATTGGACGGAACGTTAGAAGTCCCCGTAACTTGTATCACATTTATTTATTATTAAAGATTTTCCACCGATAATGATGTGTGTGGGAAGTGTCCGACGTCCAACCGTGCCGGGGGAGGAGCCTAAAGCTTTACCCTGAAATGCCTTCCTACATCTTCTTAGGAGGCTGGAAGAGCGGAGGTCAGGTGACATGTAGGAGTGTGAGGATTGGCTGTCTGGGACAGGAAGAGCGGAGGTCAGGTGACATGTAGGAGTGTGAGGATTGGGTGTCTGGGACAGAAAGAGCGGAGGTCAGGTGACATGTAGGAGTGTGAGGATTGGGTGTCTGGGACAGTGAAAGAGCGGAGGTCAGGTGACATGTAGGAGTGTGAGGATTGGGTGTCTGGGACAGTAAGAGCGGAGGTCAGGTGACATGTAGGAGCGTGAGGATTGGGTGTCTGGGACAGGAAGAGCGGAGGTCAGGTGACATGTAGGAGCGTGAGGATTGTCTGTCTGGGACAGTGAAAGAGCGGAGGTCAGGTGACATGTAGGAGTGTGAGGATTGGCTGTCTGGGACAGTGAAAGAGCCGAGGTCAGGTGATATGTAGGAGCGTGAGGATTGGCTGTCTGGGACAGTGAAAGA